TTTCATCCTTTTTCTCTGTCTGTCTGTCTCTCTGTGTCTTTCTCTCTCTCTCTCTCTGTCTCTCTCTCTCTCTCTCTATGTATGTTCCTTTTTATAGTTACATATATAGTCCTCTCTCTCTGACGATGTATACTATATATACACATGCATGCATGCATGCATGCATACATACATGCCAGTTCGCCGATACATGTACCTATACATTGACGTTGATCTAGTCAGCCATTTAGCCCGCAGCTGCGTTCCTATTGGCTGTCTGGGTGCATCGGCGCCCCCGCTCGCCATGGTCGCTTCCAGTCGCTTGCGTTTTCTTTCTGACTTGCTTGGTTCAGGACGGAGTTTCTCTGCCCACTTTTCGAGTAACCCGAGCACCCACACTGAGAAAGTCAAGGAAATGGTCAAGCCCACCAGTGTCCAAGGCAATCCGACGGAGGCGTTCTTCATGGGAAATGTGCTCCACTTCCTTCTCCAGGTGTCCGAAGTGGCTGCTATCACACATCGGGGACACACACACACATTCTGATGGAACGATCGTTGTGGCATTCTATTGAAAACATGTCTCAGGCTTGTAGGTTGTCACTGATCCCTTCGGCGGCAATGCACCCACTTGTCCTAATGCAATAGATGTATGCACTGAGCCGGCTTCTGGCGTTGATGCCGATGTGCGCCCTGCTGACGACGCGTCGTATGGTGACCGGCCAGCTGACGTGACCCTTGTGAACGAGATGAAGGATTTGAGGACCATGTTGCAACTGCAGGAAGAGAGGTTGTCGGGCTTTCAAGCGGACGCGCGTGGACGTGCTATTGGCGCCGCCGTGGATGTTATGTTGAAGCACGCTGCAAAACTTATTCCTGCTCAGTGGGACGAGCTGACCAGACGTTGCGATGCCAACTTTGAGGACTTCGGGTTTTCCCCTCATGTCGGCCATCAAGGGCGTCAAGGCCAAAGCGCTGGAACTCGAGGCTCGCCTTCCCGCTGTCGCAGCGGAACACGGCCCAGAGCATGTCTTTCAGACGGTCAGTGGCGACAGAGACGCTATTATCCAGGAGCGTGAGGATTGCTTGGCTAAGGTTGCAGCGATGGAAAAAACATTGATGTCGATATGGTTATGTGTCAGCTTGACCGTATATGTGTGCGCGTGCCAACGTAGATGAATATGGTAAGTGGTATTGTCCATGCCATGTATATTTCCTTATATCTCTCTCTCTCGTCCAGATAACCTCGATCCCTTGGCACGTGTCATTGCTTCTTCTCTTGCCCTCTCTCTCGCTCTCTCTCTCTCTCTCTCTCTCCCTCGCTCAGACATCCTCGATCCCCTCGGTCTGCTCGTCGCTCGCCCGGCGCCCGCCATCGCCCAGCGGGCCGCCCAGACGGCCCGACTTCTTCCCCAGGGCCAGCCCTTCATGACGAGCCGTGCGGTTGACGGCCCAGCGGCCCGACGAGGGCGCGCGGGAAAGACCTCCGCCCGAAAAGCATGTCTAGCTTTCTCTGGCCATCGCTCGGGCTTCCTGCGGCCGACCCGGGGGCGACGCGGGCGCCCCTGGAGCGCTGCTCGACGAGGCGCCGCGGTTGGAAAAAGCATGCCCAGGCGAAACAACAGAATCGGAAGGGCGGGCCGTCTCAGAAAGGTCGGACGTCCCCCGGCCGAGTGCGAAGTTGTCGAAGCCTTCCCCGAAGACCGGAGGCCTTCTGAGAAGCCCTCTGAGAAGGCTTTCTCCTTCTCACCTCCTCCCCCCCCTCGCTCGCCGCCGAACAAAACCCCCACGAACGTCCCCCACAGCATCTCTCCCAGGAGATCCATGGGCTCGGGGGCACCCCGTGCGAGGCCCTGGGAGGGCCCCGGGGCTCAGACTGCGGCGCGTAAGGGCTGGGGGGCACCCTGGGCCAGCAGTGCGCGGCGGGGAGCTAAGTATCCGTATCCCCCGCCTGGGGAAGCGACGTCCTGGGACGACGATAGGGGCGGGCAGGGACGACGACCAGGAGGAGGTGGAGGACGGGGGAGGAGGACGAAGGAGGAGGAAGAGGAGGAGGAGGAGGATGAGGAGGAGGGTGAGGGTGAGGGGGAGTGGGAGGACAAGGAGGACGAAAAGGACGAACGCGAGAACGAGGAGGAGGAAAAGAAGGAGGAGGAGGAGGAGGAGGAGGAGGAGAAACGCACGAGGAGGACGAGGGGGAGGAGGAGGACGAGGACGAGGGGGAGGAGGAGGACGGGGAGCACGAGAAGGATGAGGACGAGGACGAGGGGAAGGAGGAGGAGGAGGAGGAGAAGGAGGAAGAGGAGCTGGAGGAGGACGAGCACGAGGAGGAGGAGGAGGAGGGCGAGGAGGAGGGTGGATTTGTCTGGGCCTTGCGGCTGGTGCCGCCAGTCCTGCAGGGGGACGACGACGACGACGACGACGACGACGACGACGACGACGACGACGACGACGACGACGACGACGGCGACGGCGACGGCGACGGCGACGGCGACGGCGACGGCGACGGCGGCGGCGGCGGCGGCGGCGGCTGCGGCGGTGGCGGCGGCAGGGGGCGGCGATGGCGACGGCGATGACGACGACGACGCTGACGCTCTGGAGCCGAAAGCTTCTCCCAGAGAAGGGCGAGGAACAGCGGCGCAGTAATTATCATATTTGGGACTGGCGACTGCGAAGGCCTAGCAGATAGGGTAATCTAGCGAGCGAAAAGCACGCGCGAAATCGAAAATTGCAAGGGGAATGGACATCCGAGCGATGGCGAGTGAAGAGGGATGACGACGACGACAACGGCGGCGGCAGCGCCCACGACGACGACGCTGACGTGGGCCAGAGTCCTCGGGGATGCTTTTTGGGGTCTCGTCGGAAGGCTCTCGGGGGGCTCTGGAGAGTAATGTTGGTGATCATGGCGCTTTGATTTTTTCGAGCCGGGCGTTTTCGTGCGGTGTCGGGCGCTGTGACCCTCACAGATCGATTTTGCTCGAAACTTGGGCAGGAAGAGAAGGTTCGCGGCTCCGGTCGTGATTTGTTGTTGCATCTTCGGGAGACCTCGCCTGTGCCCAACATTGGGGCCTTCTTTTATGCCCGACGCGGGCTCGATGCGGACTCGGCGCGAGTTTGGCGTGGATTCGACGCGGATTCGACACGGATCTGACGAGTCCGACATGAATTCGACACGGATTCGACGCGGATAGGGGCGCGACGGGACAGACAAGGCCCCCCGAAGACGCAATATAATATCACCCCTTCCGCCGCCATTTCAGCGGCGCTGGGCCAGAAGGCGTGCAAGTGAGTCCCGACTTCCGTGAAGTTAAGATTTCCTTCAGACCTCGCTCGCGGCGCCTCCCCCCCCTCCATGCGCAAGTGGACTTGCCCGAATCTAAAATCCTGTCTCAGATCGATCCCGCTCGAAACGTGACTCAGAACAGTGATTTTTCAAGATGCTGCACGTCGGATCTCGTGGGTCAGCGGCACCGCAATGGGCACTCGTCAAGGTGTACTCTGGAGTTCCGCCCGAAAGTTGCCTCTGTAGGTCGACGTGAAGGGGCCGAGCGGTCATTCATTGCCCGTGGGCTTGGGATCCCGCAAAGGAGGCGGGTGCCCCAGGGGTGGTGTGAGTTCGATCGGGTTTTGCACCGAACCGCCCAAAACAGGTGCCACCCAGTGGCTGGCAGCTCCCGATAGTTGCCGATAGGTAAGGCATGGGGGGGGGCTTCTGTTTGCGGTAGTTCGGTGCACCAGCGGGTCGAGCTCATGCCCCCCTCAGGGTCCCCCCCCCTTCGGTGGATCCCGATGGGTGCTTGGCAGAGGTGGCGTTCCGTCTGGCAGATTCTGCTTGCTCTGTTTCTGGAGCATTGTCGTCGCCCCCGCCCGTGGCCCACCCGCGACCCACCCCTCGATCCAACCCGCGACCCACCCCGCGACCCACCCCAAACTCATCTGCGACCCAGCCCGCGCCCGCCCCCTCTTTCTTCTCCGCAACTGCGGGGTGCTGCGTAATTATCTGTTCGGGCACTGCAGCATTGCCCGCATCTGGAACGGTTTGGTCCGCCACCTGCTGGCCAAAGCACCCGTTCGTGGAGTCCCCATCAGGGGGGACCCTTGCACCGGAGGGGGAGGCAGCAAGAGGAGGTGCTGGGCGGCGGTTGCACTTGAGGGGAGGCGCGCCGCCTGAGCAGAGGATCAGGAGATCATAATCATGAGGCGTACGATAGGTTCGCGTCGTGTCGACCAGCGGCGAACCCGCCGCCAGCATTCAATGTTGACCGTCGCTATCGACCTAGAATTGGTTGATGATGATCGGTCTGACGTTTTGGGAACGGCCGATCGTTCGAGATTGAACGGTCCCCGCGGTGTCAGAAACCCACGCCGAAGGCGGCACAACACGAACCTACCGTGCACAGTTCCCCACAATTGCGGATACGAGCCAGGGGGCGCGGGTGGTTCGCGGCGCGGGCGGTTCGCAAGTGTGCCGCGGGTAGGTCGATACGCGGGTGGATCGTGGGGTGACGACGACAAGAACAGCAACAACGACAATCCGCACCGCGGAAGCCCACTACAGCCACGCGCACAGGGACCGCGTCCTCAGGAGGTCATGGCCGTTGGAATTTCGAGCGCCCAGCTCCACGTGCCTGCCTGGTCGAGACAAATCTTCGCTCTACTCCCTGGACGCTCGCCGCGCGTTGTTGCGATACTCTCCCCTGGGGCACGAGATTGGTTTCGATCTGTCATTCCAGGCTAGAGTAGGCTTGAGCATCGTAAGCCTGATTATAGCCCTCCCTCCTTCACCTCCTTTTGCATCTTCCTCCTCCACCTCCAACCGTGCCCGTGTCATTAGTCAGTCCGCGTTGGACAGCCATACCAGCTGTCCCGAGACGGGCCTCGTCGTCCCAAATGTTTTACATGACTCTAACCTCCCTTTCCACCTCATTCTGCTGCTCCCTCCTCCTCATTTCACCTCTGCCTCCTCCTCCCTTGTCCTCCCCTCCTCTGTCCACGCCGCCCTCCTCCGCGCGCGCACCGTCGAGGTCATCGATTGGGGCCTGGGCTTCTATTTCGGAGAGGCCCCCGCAGCTTGCGGAGGAGGTGGCGGGTGCTGGATGACTGCTGGACCTAAACGCCGTTTTGCTGGATTTCGGCTGTGTTATGTTATTCGTTTTGGCAGGTAGGTACAGGATAACAGGTAGAGCGAAACGAAAAACAAAACGACAACAAAACGAAGAACAACGTTTAGGTCAAGACCTGGTGGACGAGGATGAGGGGGGGGTGATCGATCCCGGCGAGACCCTGAGATCCTGGCGCCTAGGGGCCCAGTTTCGGGCCCTGGGGCCCTCGCGGAGCAGTCCGGCTCGGAGAATGGCGCGGAAGAGGATGGGGTCTAGGTCCAGGGCTTCGGTCGTGATGCTTCACGATGCTGCATGTCTTTCGCTGCGTCGGCTCTCGGGGGTGGAAGAGGGAGGACAATCCTCAGGACATTCTGCTGACCCCTGGATGCTCGGTCATCCTGGGCCACCCCTGGCCTGCGAGAGCCGAGGCCCACCCAGACACGACCAGGACCCGACGTCATGGCTCGATCGTTTCACGAGGTCGGATCTCGGGGTGGAGGAGGGGGGGTAGTCAGCTCGATTGGTGGGGAAACTTGCGCGCGGGCGACGAGGGGTCGATGGGCTCCTCATCATCCTGCTCCTCGCCCACCGTTTCTCTTCCGTAAACCTTCCTCGTCGCGCCACCAGGCGTGCCAGTGTGGCGGGCCGGCCAAGGCGTCCGACTTGTGTTCCGTCACCTTTGGCCTCCAGGGGCCCTCGCCGGTCCCAAGACCGTCGAGACCTGGGAAAAGCGTTGGCCCTGGGCAGAGGATGGGTTCGGATGCACCTCCGGGCAGGTCAATTCTGATTTTGCCCTGGTCCGAAATCCGGCTTAATAATCGGCTCAATCCCGCTCAGTCCCGCTTAATGCAGCTTAATCCGGATTAATCCCGCCGAATCCGCGGCCCAATCCGGCGTAGCAGCCCCCCAGAAGGGCTGAATCCCCCTTAAGCCTTCTGTCGAAGACCTCCCAGCAGTTGCCTCCTAAGGGTGGGAAATTCCGGGTGGCCCAGCAGTGAATAAAATCAGGACATTTTGTCTCCACCGACCGCGCGCAGCCCGTGCCGCGGCCCTGAGCACACCGCCTGCGTCGCGTCGAAGGTCGTCGGTGAACCAGCACACAGGTTTAGGATGCAACCCTTGGGAGGTTATCAGAGGAGGAAAGGGTACCCATACCTCTACCCTTCGCGCGTTTTCCCTTTTTTGGATTGCAGCCGCAGGACCTGAACATAAAACCGATACACCGATAAACCGACTCATCGCAAGCATGTCCGAATATCAGTTTATCGGTTTATCTGTCAATCGGTATGTTTCTCCGCTTAGCAGTGTATCGGCTTGTCGGTTTACCAGTTTATCGGTTTATCGGTTGATCGGTTTATCGGTTTATCGGTTCGGAGCTGTCGTAGTTGTCCGAGTGGTAATCCGTCGAAATCTTTCTGAGGACTCTTGGAGAATCCTCTGGAGCACTCCGAAGGGTAATCCTTCTGAATATTTATGATGCTTCCTTTGTTCCTGAGGAACTCTCGGGGATCCAAAAGAATCCTTACAATAACTAACGCTACAACATCCACAACGATAACAGCTACTACTATTACTACTACTCCTATGTGTTACTACCGTTTCCGCTGCTGTCACCGGTGCTACAACAAGTACGACTCCCATGTGTTATTATCGTTACTGCTGTTGTTACGGGTGCTGATACAACAACAATTGCCACTATCATTATTACTACATCCACAATTATGATTGTTGATGCTACTGTTCTTATTCCCATTGATTACTATCGTTACCACTACTGCTACTAGTATCAATGCAACTACAACTACGATTGCGATCACAACTTCCACAACACTTGTTATTGAGGCTACCGCAACTATTCGCATGTTTGAAATGATCGTTGCGGGTACTGTTATTACTATTAGTACACATGCTAAAACTACTACTACGGCGCCAGCAGATATTACTGTGGCTACCGCTGCGATGCACATGTGTTATTATCGTGTTTGCTACTGTTGTTCTTACGAGCACAGCTATTAGAACTACTACTGCTCCTACTGTTACTGCTACTAAAACTGTTGCTGCTACTACTACTGCGACGACGACTACTACGGCGCTACTGTTGTTTATATTTTTTACCACAACTATTACTATCACTCCCTGCTACTATAGATATTTGTAAAGCGACAACGAGCATGCGGATGTTGATGATGTTGATGATGTTGTTGATGATGAAAATGATGATAACAAATGATGCTGAGGTGGAGGAGGAGGGAATGAGGAAGACGAGCAGGAGCAGGGGGAGGAGGCGGAGGGACGAGGAAGAGGGGACGGATAAGGAAGAGGAGGAGGAGGGCAGAGGACAACGAGGAGCGGGAGGAGGAGGCCTTCGGCGGCTGTCTGAGACTCGGTCACCCCAGGGGCGCGAAGATAATCATGCTTCGCGCGTCGCGGCCTAGGCTCGAGATCTGGCCTCCTCCAACGTAGCCTCGCGATGGCATCGCGAGGGCGCGAAGAACATCCACAGCCATAACACATACTACTACTACTACTACTACTACTACTACTACTACTACTACTATTACTACTACTACTACTACTACTACTACTACTACTACTACTACTACTACTACTACTACTACTACTACTACTACTACTACTACTACTACTATGTGTTATTACTGTTTCCGCTGCTGTCACCGATGCTACTACAAGTACAATTAATACACATGTTATTGATACTGCTTCCATGCGTTACTATCGTGCCTGCTGTTGTTACGGGTGCTGATGCGACAGCAGGTGCTACTATCATGAATGCTATATCCATCGTTGTTACTGTCGATGATACTATTCTTATTCCCATGGATTACTATCGTGACCACTACTGCTACTGGTACTAATGCAGCCACAGCTACGATGGCGATCATATCTTCAACACCACTTATTATTGAGGCTATCGCAACTATGCGCACGTTTTACATGCTCGTGGTGGCCACTGCTATTACTAATAGTGCACATGCTAAAACTACATCTACGACAACAGCAAATACTACTGTGGCTACCGCTGCGGTGCACATGTTTTATTCTCGTGTCTGCCACTGTTATTTGTACGAGCGCAGCTATTCGAACTACTACTTCTCCTACGGCTACTGCTACTACTACTGCTGCTACTACTACTACTACTACTACTACTACAACTACTACTACGACTACTACGACTGCTGCTGCTGCTGCTGCTGCTGATGTTGCTACTACGACTACGACTACTACAGCGCTACTGCTGTTGAAATTACTACCACAACTATTTATCACTCCCTGCCACTATTCCCCAATCAGAGCTTGCTTCTGTAGGGGTCCTAGCGGATATAAAGCTGAGGTGAGGTGGGCGGCCGATTTCGGTGGCCGGGGCCGGGTGCCCGGGTGCCCGGGGGTGCCCGGGTGGCCGATTTCGGTGGCCGGGCCCGGGTGCCCGGGGGCCCGGGGGTGCCCGGGTGCCCAGGGGTGCCCGGGTGCCCGGGGGTGCCCAATAGCCCAATCGCCCAGTAGCCCTATAGCCCTATAGCCGTATAGCCCTATAGCCCTGTAGCCCTATAGCCTTATATCCCTATAGTCCTAATAGCCTTATATCCCTATAGCCCTACAGCCCCATAGCCCATATAGCTCTATAGCCCCATAGCCCTATAGCCCTATGGCCCTATAGGTCACAGTCCTATAGCCCTATAGCCCGATAGCCCTATAGCCCTATAGCCCGATAGCCGTATAGCCCTATACCCCAATAGCCCTATAGCCTTATAGCCCTAACACAAATCTTATTGGGTTTTTTCTCCGGCATCATGGATATTTGTTCCCCAATCAGAGCTTGCCTCTGTAGGGGTCCTGCGGATTCATATGGTTAGGTTGGGTTTGTCGCCGATTTTCGCGGCACACCCGGGTGCCCGGGGGTGCCCGGGTGCCCGCGGGTGCCCAGGCGTGCCTGGGGGTGCCCTGGTGCCCGGGCGTGCCCGGGGGTGCCTGGGGCTGCCCGGGTGTGCCCTATAGGATAGCCCAATAGCCCTATAGCCCTATAGACCTATAGCCCTACAACTCTATAGACCTATAGCTCTATAGCCCTATAGCTCAAGATTCCCCAATCAGAGCTTGCCTTTGTAGGGGTCCTAGCGGATTCATATGGTTAGGTTAGGTTTGCCGCCGATTTTCGCGGCACGCCCGGGTGCCCGGGTGCTCGGGGGTGCCCGGGGGTGCCCGGGTGCCCGCGCGCGGGCGCCCGGGCGTGCCAGGGGGTGCCCTGGTTCCCCGGTGCCCTGGTGCCCGGGTGCTCGGGCGTGCCCCGGAGTGCCACCCGGGGGTGCCCTATAGCCCAATAGCCCTATAGCCCTACAACTCTATAGACCTATAGCTCTATCGCCCTATAGCTCAATATTCATATATTCATATGGTTAAGTTAGGTTTGCTGCCGAAGCTCAATTCCCCAATCAGAGCTTGCCTCTGTAGGGGTCCTAGCGGATTCATATGGTTAGGTTAGGTTTGCCGCCGATTTTCGCGGCACGCCCGGGTGCCCGGGTGCCCGGGGGTGCCCGGGGGTGCCCGGGTGCCCGGGTGCCCGCGGGTGCCTGGGCGTGCCTGGGGGTGCCTTGGTGCCCCGGTGCCCTGGTGCCCGGTGCCTGGGGGTGCCCAATAGCCCTGTAGCCCTACAATTCTATAGGCCTAAAGCTCTATAGCCCTATAGCTTAATATTCATATGGTTAGGTTAGGTTCGCGCCCGGGCGTGAAGGGGGTCGCATGGGGGTGCCCAGGGGTGCCCTATAGCCCTATGGCCCTATAGCCCTACAACTCTATAGCCCTATAGCTCTATAACCCTATAGCTCAATAGCCCTATAGCCCCCTAGCCCTATAGCCCTGATTGGGGCTTTTCTCCGGTATCATAAAGCTATTACGAGCATGCGGGTGTTGATGATGATAATGGTATTGTTGGTGATGATGATGATGATGCAAATGATGATGAGAATGATGCCGAAGAGGAGGAGAAGGGGAGGAGGAGGACGAGCAGGAGGAGCCTCCTGGGAGCTGTTTGGGGCCGAGAGCTCCCAATGTCAATTCGGTTCCCACGTTTGGGCCCCGTCTTGCACCCGTATAAGAAACTTGCTTGGGAGATTCGAGAATGTGGGATCTGGGCCCTTTGGGAATCCTTGATCGCGAAGACAGAGGACTACATGGGTACCTGGGGACATTCGACCTCGTGCCTCGCGGCGCGGTGGCGGTTCAAAACGATAGCAGCACGCAGCTGGCGCCGGTTGTGAGTTGGGCTGTCCTAGTAGAGCGGTACTCTTGCCCACAGAAGGAGCGGGAGTACAAGCGCGTGCTCCAGATCATCGCCGCTTTAGGAGAGAAACCAACGTCATCATCATCATCATCATCATCATCATCATCATCATCATCATCGTAACCCTTATCATCACCATCATCATCATCATCACCATATCATTCGTTATCATCATGCGCATCGTTATCGCTGCCGTCGTCATCGTCATCATCATCGCCAAATTACCGGCGCTGGCGACGCTCACGGCGACGGCGACAGCGACGGCGACGGAGAGATACGAACTGACATTTCGGGACACGAGGCCCGACGCCGTCGCCGTCGTCGTCCTCGTCCTCGTCTTCGCCCCCGTTTCGGCTGGCCCGCCGGCGGCTCGGCCAGGCTCGGCCGGCAGGGGAGAGGGAGGGGAGGGGGAGGAAGAGGAGGGCGAGGAGGAGGAGGAGGAGGAGGAGCAGCAGCAGCAGAGGAACGAGGAGGAGGAGGAAAAATAAAAGGAGGAAGAGGAGGAAGAGGCCCCTTTCGCGCGAGACTTCATCGGCAGTCTGGATTCCAACGCGCCACGACGTGCGATTATCGAAATAGCGTCGCCATATACATTTTCACAACTCCAGCGCGTTCTGCTTGAAACATCTTCGGCATGCTGACATCCGATATGCTTTGAGTCGAGGTGATTTGGCCACCATCGCCTGAGCCATCCTCGCATTTCTGGATTCCGAGACGCCCTGCCTCATAGTAGTCCTGCCACTTTCGCCAGAGACATCCTCGTAATTCTAGATTCCGAAACGCCCTCGGATGAGGTGGACATACCACTTTTGCTTAAGATATCCTCACAAAGCTGAGTTCGGAGGTGCCCTGCCCCACGGTGGTTTGGCCACTCTCGCCAGTAACATCCCCGCAATTGTGGTTGCCGAGACGTCCAGGGTTGAGGTGTTCAGGCCACTTTCGCGTCAGACATCCTCGCAAGTGTGACCGCGGAGTTGCCCTGCCCCCAGCCCCATGGTGGTCAGGCCACTTTCGCCTGCAGCATCCTCGCAGTTGTGGGTTCTGGGATGCCCTGAGCTCAAATCTTCGCGCCATTAACCCCAGATCTGCCGCGAGATACGGTGTTCAGGCCACTTTCGCTTGAGACCCCCTCGCGTTTTTTAATTTCGGAGATGCCCTAGCCCATGGCGGTCCGGCCACTTTCGCATGCGACATCTTCGCAACAGTGGATTCCGACACGCCGAAAGCTGACCTGCGCAGGCCGTTTTCGTATGAGACATTTTCGTAACCCTCGATTCTGACATGCCCTGAGCTGAATGGTCAGGCCTCTTTCGCTTTAGACATCCTAAGAGATCTGACTTCGGATTTGCCCTACCCCCAAGTTGGTTCGGCCACTGTCGCCTGAGACCCTCGCAGGGCCTGCATTACCACGCAAATCGTCGTATGCGGCGGGTGAGGTTCGGACCCCTGCGGGACTCCGTCCGCACAAGAGCCAATCACAAAACTCACGCTGATCAGGGAGAGCCGCCCCACAGCCGTCGCCGTCGTCGTCGCGGTGGGGGCCTGACAACCGGCCGATAAGCCGATAAACCGGTAAATCGGTAGACCGATATGCGGCGCAAGGATCGACTCCTCAGGGTCGCCCCCAGCGATTTCAGACCAGTCACCCGATGAGCCGATAAACCGATACACCGACGAAGAGAAGGAGAGCGTACCGGCCATCGTCTCTATGTTCTCGGATAAAAGGTTATCGTTTTTTTCGGAAAGTGCAGATCGACCGATAAACCGGTATAATCATATCGGTTGATCGGTCGGTGGATCGGTCGGATGGATTTCCAGAGGCCGTTGCCGCTGCACTCCCTTTTTGGGCCTCCTGGGTGGCCCTCGTCGCCACTGCTGAATTCGCCTCGACATTCTGGTCAGAACGCATCCACCAGGAGAGTTCCGGGGAGTCGCGGTATCGGTACCCTTTTTGGTATCCTCAGGTTGAACTCAGCACCAGCGCTGGTGTATCCGTGCTCGGAAGCCCGCCTAACGCAGCATAGCCCCCCTGGTTTAGTTCAGACCTGTTGGACAACGGCTCATCGGGCTGCACACTGGGTTTCAGCTGGGTTACTCCGGCTCAGTGGCCCCCGAAGCGGGTTCTAGGCCCCCTAGATGGGGTCGGAGAAGATGAGGTCGGAGGATCGCGCCGCATCGCAAATGCATCGGCGATGCATCGGCGATGCTGCTCGATGTGTTGCCCGATTTTCTCCACGCCGACGTCGCCTATCGGCGATGCGACGAGATCCTCCGACTCCATCTATTCGGACCCCATCTAAGAGGCCTGTACAAGTCGCCCTTCACCGTTCTTGGGCAGACCTCGCAGGAGATGCCTTCTAACACTGATGCCGGCACGCGCTCCGAGGAGCATCGGCGGCTGCGAGCGCGGCGGCTGCGCGCGGCGTGGGCGGCCGCACCCGCAGACGCAGCGGATGAGCTCGGCGGTGGGCAGCCTCACGTACGCGGCGCCGGAGGCGCTCGGGTCGCCACGGGCGGGTCGGGCGGGCGGCAGCTGGGGAGCGCCCGGCGAAGGAGGAGAGGACGGCACGGCTTGATGTCGCGAAGGCCTTGCAGTGGAGACCTATGCCAAGAAACACCCCGCTTGCTTCCAGGGTACCTTTGGTTTCTTGGGTTTCGATGGTTTTGCTATGGAAAGCGTGACGTTCCCACACCAGAAATCGATGCACGTCCTGGGGTCTCAGGATTGGGTTTTTTGTGGAAGGTTTCTTGTGGTCGGGCCCGTACTGTACGGCCGTTGCCGCCCACGGCCTTACGGTCTGTGCCGCCGACCCTGCAAGGGGACGACGACGACGGCGACGACGATGACGACGGCGACGACGACGACGACGGCGACGACGGCGACGACGACGACGGCGACGGCGATGACGACGACGACGCCGCCGACGACGCCGACGCTTGGGAGCCGAAAGCTTCTCCCAGAGAGGGGCGAGGGACAGCGGCGCAGTCCGATAGTTGGGGCTGGCGCGTGCTCCCCCGCGCCAGCGAGCGGGAGGCTTTCGCGCGCGCGAGGGCCAGAGAGGCAGGACTGGAGGCACGAGCACGAGGCAGGGGTCGACCTGAAACGGTGTTTTGGCGATTTCGTGTGCCGTCTTCGTTTCGATCCCGATTTCCAGCGAAGGCTGATTGAAGACCATAACGGGCGAGAGCGAAAACAACACGAAAACGAGAAACCCTGTTTCGGATGATCCCTGGCACGAGCTGGAGTGAGAGTAGGAGTTGGAGCAGCAGTCGCCATTGGAGAAACGGGTCCTGAGGGAACAGGTCCTGAGGTGTTTCGCCGTTTTCGGGCTCTCGGGGCCCTCCACGGGCCCCAGGACTGTCAAAAACGAGCGATTCAGGATGAAGATTTCGGTTTGGGGGAAGGCCCCAGGGTCCAGGACCCGTTTCCCTTTGGACCCCTTTCCCCCATGGAACAGCAGGAATCGAAGAAGGATCAATTGCACATACATGATTGCCGGAGCTCCGCGGGAATTTCTTGGATTTGCGTTTGGTCCCCCCCCCCCGAGGCGCCTCTGGCGCCGCCCCTGGCACACTCAGCGCGCAAGGGAGGGGAATCCAGAGCAGATCCAGGACATGTGCACGGGCCTTCGAAAGTTCATGTTGTTGTTTTGTCTCTTTGCAGAAGCACTACGAACAGGAGAAGCACCACAAGAAGGAGGAGGAGGAGGAGGAGGAGTAGGAGGAGGAAGTCGATGCACCCTCATCATGCGCAGGTCCACGAAAAGGCCTATGCAAGGTCCTCGAGGCACCTGGAGGCCTCAGGCAACAACAGCGCCTCCAAAACCTGCATCGTCCGATTCATCCCTCCTCTCTCCTCCGCCCCCCTCCATTGCCGTAAATCACTCACTGCCAAAGGGCTTGAGGCTTTGACCCGACTCGAGGGGTCTCTCCCAGAAGCAGGGCATTATGTTTCTATGAGTGACTGACCCTCGTAACTCCAATGATATCATGTGTATATATATATATGTGTGTTTTGTCATTGCGCCCAGTCTTGCTATGGGTCACCGCATTTTCCTAGCAACTGTAACTTCGATCCGTCGCCATTCACCTCACCTTCCCTCTGGATTCCGTTCATTCCCCTATCATCCTTTCCAAAGTTTCTCAATCTCCCTCTCACCTCCTCCTACCCTCCCTCCTCCTCCTCCTCCCTCGTCCTCCTCCTCCTCCTCCTCCGCCTTCTCCTCCCGTAAGGGGAGGCTGGGGGTGCTGGTTGCTTGCCATTACGTCCCGCCTTAGTGCTGTGTGCACCGCGCACTCCCTGGATCCATGACTCCTTGACCCCTCCTCTTCCTCCTCCCCCTCCTCCTCCCCCTCCTCCTCCTCTGCCTCCTCATCCCCCTCCTCCTTTTCCCGCCACCTCCCTTAGGTAGAGCCTGAGCGCAGCATAGCGCCCGCGACTTCTTCATCAACGAGGAGAGCACAGCTGAGCCAGACCAGATGTTTCACCGCTGCGGTGCTCTCCAGTCGAGGTAATGCAGCACCGAACTGGACCAAGAGCTTGACCGGTCGACCTATCCTCCCTCTTCCAGCCCCCGCCCCGAAGGTGCTGGAGTCTTCCACCGGCAGTGGCTACGACGCACGCTGCCCGCGCCGCTTCCCCCGCCCCCCGCCGCCGCGCCGCGCAGTGGGCGCGGCCTCCCTCCACGGGCGGCGCGGAGGGGAAGACCCGCCTCGTGGCGCCCAGCCAGGGGGGTGGGGGGGGGCGCAGGGGGAGGGCGAGCCAGGAGGAGGAGGAGGGAGGAGGGAGGAGGGAGGAGGGAGGAGGGAGGAGGAGGGAGGAGGAGGAGGAGGAGGTCAGGCCACTCCTTACCTCACTGGCAGCTTATCGCCGCTCAGCCCCCACCCACGTGCTATTCTCCTTGCTATCATGGGTCACTGCTCCTCCCTCCTCTTGCCCACCCCCGCGGGCTTAGCTGCCCCACGGCGACCGCCGCAGGGGGGGGGAATGGCTGCGCCGCTGGACGATCCCGAAGCCAACAGGGGGGGAAAGGTGGAACAACAACGGGCCGTTGAGATGACCCGGCTGTGGTGGTAGTAGGTGTCTTCCCTTCTGTCTTCTGAAGCAGGTGTTTTCCCTTCCTTGTGTCTCGAAGCCAGCAGGAATAGCAGCAGGTCAGGAGGAGAAAGAGAGAGAGAGAGAGAGTGACCCTTCCTTCCGCTTCCCAGCTTCTGCCCGGACGCACTAGTGTTAGAAAGTCCAGGGTTCGTTAGTGATTGGTTTCCGTTCCCAACCGCAGAAACACTCCCGAAACCCTCCGAAAACCTTCCTGAAAGGCTTTCGGAGGGTTTCGGGGAAGTTTTGGAAGGGTTTTCGTCGTTTTGGGAGGTCGCTGGTCCCTAGCGAACCCTGGGTTTCTAAATCTAGTGGTCGATCAGGCAGGCGGGACCACGGGTCAGGGGAGTGGCAGTGCTCGGCTGGGGACGTTGGTCCAGGCATCTCAAACGGGTCCAAGCAGATGGGGTCGGAGGAACAAGCCGCATCGCCGATGCATCGGCGATGCGGCTCGATGCGAAGCCCGATTTTCTCCACGCCGACGTCGCCAATGCATCGCCGACGTCGCCGGTGCATCGCCGATGCATTGGCGATGCGGCGCCATCTTCCGGCCCCATCTATTTTGGCCCCCCTGGGAGGCCTCCAGTCGGGAAGTGGCAGACGTCGCATGGTTGGTCTTGCTTGGTGACGGCGCACCTCGACGCCTTCAGGGGCAGCGCTAGGGGAAGACCGGCTCGGGGGGGGGATGCATCGCCCCCCCCCACCCGCCCACTGATCCCCCGAGGGACGTGCGTGCTCACTGCCGAGGGCCTGCCGCAGTGCTAGCGGCGATGCATCGCCGACTCGGGTCGATGTCTCCCCCCGGAGGCGGTCCCCTCCTTGCGGTTGCCACTCGCCCCCCCCAAGAGTCGGGCGCCGCCCCCTTTTTAGTAGGTAGATCTCTCAAGCTCTCTGCCGCCTCTGGCGGTGTGCGCTGCGAGCAGGAACGCAGCAAAGCCACAGGAAAGCGCGGCATTGACAGTGTAGCTCCGCACACGCGACTCACGTTAACGGGCAGGAACACAGCAAAGCCCCAGGAGAGCGAGGCGTTGACAGTGTAGCTCAAAACCCCCCCCTGGCGCCGCCCCAGGCGTGCTCCGCTCGGCAGGGCGGGGGGGCCCAGCGCCCAGCGCCGATCCGAGGATCCGCGCGGGCCTCCGACAGCTCATGGTGACCCATCGGTCGTTGAAAGTATGTTTAAGTCGGGCCTGTCCCTTGTCACAAAATTAGTCTGGGGACGATGCTCCGACTATTTTCTTACTGGGCCTCCAGGATGTTCGTGAGGATGTCGCGGGGGGGCCTCTTGGGGGCCGTTTTGAGGCCTCCTGTGAGCAGGGCTGGGGCCTCTTGGGGCGTCTTGAGGGCCTCTTGGGGGTCTCTTCGGGCCTCTTGGGGGCCTCTTGGCGCTTCCCTGAGGCCTCCTGGGGGGCCTCTTGGGAGGGGAGACTCGGTTTTTCTGTTCGCGTGCCTCTTCAAGGGGGTGTCTTTGGGCTCTCTTGGGTCGTCCCGGGCGCCTCTGGGGCCGTCTTGGAGCCCTCTTGCGCCGTCTCGGGGCCCTCTTGCGGGCCTCTAGGGCTGTCTTGGGGCCCTCGGAGGCCGTCTTGGATCTGTCTAGTTGCCCTCCGGGCAAGCTTGAGTTGAGTCTCTTTTGAGGCCGTCCTGGGCCGTCCAGGGGGCCTTTTGGGTCTTGGGCCGTTCTGAGGCCGTCTTGGAGGCCTCTTGGGTTGTTTTGGGGCCCTCTTCGGCGGTCGCGTCGTCGTTGTCGTCGCCGTCGCGAGGAGGAGGCGGCGTGGCCCCCCAAACATTCTAGACAAACGCAACAACTGAAAAACAATGTGTTTGGCCTCTCGGAGCCCTCTTGGGGTGGCTCTTGGAGGCCACTTGGGACGTCTTGGGCGCTTTCTCGGCCTACTGGAGACCATATCGGGCATCTTGGACCGATCGTGCGGCGATTCGAGGCCTTCTTGAACCGTCTTGGGACCCTCTTGTGCCAGCTGCGCTACCCTGGGAAATCCCGGCGAATCCCAGTAAATCACCAAGAATCCCCGGGAATCCAATGGAATCTCCCAACCCCCCCGGAAATCTTTGTGAAACCCCGGGAATCCTTTTCAAAACCGGTGGTCCCAGCTTCTAAGGCTTTGCAGCTCTTGAACTCTCAGGGCTGAATGGGCCTTTGGGAACTCCACTACGTGCTGATGCCAATCCAATGGAATCTCCAGAAAGCACCGGGAATCTAGGTGAAACCCCGGGAATCCTCTTTGAAACTGGTGGTCCCGGCTTTTCATTGAATCCTTGCAACTCTTTATCCCTCAGGGCTGATCCTTGGGGCACTCCACTACGTGCTGATGACACAGTGGCGGATCAGAAGAGGCACAGAGACCACCGCCACCGAGAACCCACTACCCCCCCCCCGCCACCCCGCCACTGAGAACGTCCATGTTTATACAGTCCTTGTTTAATGCAGGACGTCGCCCGGACAGGACCTCACCTCACTCCACCTCGGGCCCGCTTCCCGAGGATGACGGGGGAGGAGGAGGGGGAGCAGAAGGAGGAGGAGGAGGCGGAGGGGAGGAGGCGGACCGCGCAGGCGGAGCCCGTCGAGGGAGGAGGAGGGATGCTGAGAGGAGAAGGAGGAGGAGAAGGAGGAGGAGGACGAGGAGGAGGAGGAGGAGGAGGAGATGAGGAGGAGGAATAGGAGAGGGAGGAGGAGGCGGAGGAGGAGGTGGATATCAGGACAGGGCATGTGGGCCGCAAGAGAAGTACGTCTGCCCAACACCACTGTCCTCTTCCTCTCCGCCTACTGCGCTTTCGGGGAGGGCCTCTCAGGGGACAACATGCAGACGTTGGAAGAGATCGTTTGCATAATCCAGGCCTCACTGGAATATGGAAGTTTCGAACAACTGCCAAGCAGGGATAGAAGACTACCTGGACGCTCGGTTTGTTTTCCCAGAAGGAGCCACCAGGGAGTTCGGGAAGAGGGTGATCGGCTTCGGGCTCGTCTCCTCCCACCTCGGCCCTGACCTCACCCTCCAGTACGACCTGGGTGGCCCATGGGCGCAGCCACACCTAGAGATCAAGTGCCGCCTCGCAGGAGCTTTCAGGGAGGGGGAGGTCCACGTACTCGCCGAACCGACCAAGCTTCCCCTCGGGATGCAAGGCCCCACGTGGGCCTGGGAGACGCACGTGGCAAGGGCCCAAGCCTCTGAAGACCCTCGAGAAGCAGAGTACTTCGTCGCCCAGCCCTGTACAGATCTTACGCTAACGGCCAAGTGCCGCATTTTCGCCAATGCCGCTGAGAACCTGCACGCCTCGCGAAGTGGAGGCCTGCGAAGCACGCGCCGACGAGGGTCGGCGCTGACATTGGTAATTAAGAAGGCGGTGGCACCACCGCTGCTCGGGGGACAAACTGGGGGTACATCTAACCCCGCTTTCTGGGATAACTGTGTCGCCAGGATCGAGGACCTCCGCGGGCTCAGGATCGGGAGGGGCAGTCCTGCGGAGGACTACATGCGCCAGGAAGTGGGAAGACATCGCAGGGAGACGCGCAACAACACCTCCAAGTGCAACCGCCCCAAGGCCCCCCAGTATAACCCAGATGATATGACCAGAAGATCCAGGACATACAGACCAAGGCCCAGGCGCTGGCCGCCTGCGACCAGGACACCCTCAAGGCCCCTCTTGGAAGGCCTGCAGGGGGGGGTCTGCGACCAAGCTGATCGAGAAGCGCATAGAGACAAACAAGCTGGTCTCCAGGAGCGGCGAACCCAAAGCCTCCGAGCGGGAGCGACATTTGCCCACTGGCACACTAAAGCGCGGGGACACCTACAAGCTATACCAGCGCAAGAAGCTGAAGACTCAGGAGATCCACTAGGGGACCCCTTGGAGGCTCTGACAGTTAAGAGGACTCGCTGGAGCTCCCTCTGGCCAGACCCTGACGGACTACGACACCCGACAGCGCGAGGGTGGTGGCTGCAGTTCCGTGCAGGTGCCCAAGCCGCCGCGCCAGACCTTCCATAATTTTCCAAGGCGGACGTTGTTGCTGCGCGCAAGTCTTCCCCGACCACCATGGGCATGGGAGCCGACCAGCGGAACCCGTTGCTCCGGTGAAACTTGCCAGATGAATCGCACTGCGGGTTCGAGGCCCTCCTGCGCGACATAGGGAGCAGGCGCGCCTGGCCCAAGCAAGCTCTTATACATGAAATTGGCATGCATCCCAAACCCACGGGGGAAGGGGGCCGACCCGTCACATGGGCCCGGGACTGGCGCCACACGCGGCCCCGACTTCGGAAAGAACCAGTCGCCCAGCGGGAGAAATCCAAAGCAGGGTTCCGGGACGCAGCCGCGCGACGGGCCCGATCCGCCGAAGGCCGCCCAGTTTAGAATCGCCAAGGCGGAGGCAGCCACGTGGGTCTCCATTGATTGGGCGATCCTCCTCTTAGATGCAGAGAATTTGTTTCGACGAGCTCTGCACTTTCTGGATCTACACACCAGGCAAGGGACTTGGCTATCCACGCCGCGCGCATGGGCATTCGCGCGCGCCGCCGATCGGGCCCTCGCAGCGGGCCCAGAGGCGTCGGATTACGTCAGCGCGAAGCGATCGATCCGCCAAGGGCGCATGCAGAGCGTCGCGTGGACACGCGCGTAAGAGCCGAGGGGTTTCGGCTTTCCGAGAAATCGCAGCTCCCCGGGGGCCGAATGGACCTCGTCAAGCACATCCACCGAGCGCTCGCCCAGGCCGACGTCAACGCGCAAGTTGCCAGCAAGGTCAGAGACCTAGGCCTCGATTATTTTGCGCGCAGTTGTTCGGCGGTGGTTGCCCAGGGTCGCACCGAGGAAGCGTTCGCCATGGCCGAGAGAGCGCGGCGCCTCGAGCGAGTCAACGAGCACGCCGGCAAGCTCAGCCTCGCCGGGGTGGAACCGCAGGCTTCCCGGGGCACGATGGCCCGAGGGGCCTCGCCAACGGCGCGATAGCAGCTGGGTGGTAAGATGGCCGCCATATCTGGGGAAGAACGTGCAGGAGGATGCGCAGCCGCAGCTCTTCGTCTCGGCCCAGGCCGCAAGGGCGGCCCGTGTTATTTTGCCCGCCTGGGCGCGAGCAAAGCCCGGCTGAACATTTGCCCAGGCTGATGAACGAGACAGCCGCGCTCGCTGCCGCCGGGGAGAAACGCGGCAGCGTCGCGCGCGAGGCCAAGAAAGTCTGGGGCAGAGCCAGAGGGGGCCACCAGCTCCCTCGCGGTTACTCTCCTGCAAAACCAAAGGGACTCGCAGCTGCCCCGGCAGTGGAAAGCGCCCCGCGGCGAAGAATGCTACTTCCCCCCTCGGGGGGCCCCGCCTGAACGAGCTCAATTCTATCTGGGAGATGTCTCGGGGTCTCGTCCGGAGTGGCAAAAACGCGCACTGGCAGACTTTGACGGGCCCCATCGAGCAGCAAATCTGGAAAGACAATGCGCCCCAACACTTTTGCGGGCCAGGCCTAGAGTTCGGCGCAGACCTGACAGTTCCACAGCGGAAGTTCCGGACGCTCAGACGCCAGCGCACGCGCGGCCGCGCGGTCATGCTTGAATGGGTTGCCGCGGGAGCGACGTGGCCAGGGAATAACGAGGGAACATGAACATGAACCCGCCGGGCAAGGATGTCACAGGTGCCACGCCGCTCGCGCCCACCCGTTGCCGGCAGGAGACCTGCTCCACCAGCAGTGGGCGCGCGAGTGCTTGCAGCCGCACGATGGGGGCGGCCTTCGACCTTCTTCCCGAGCTCCACGTCCACGGGGAGCACGAGGACAGGCCATGTTTCTGGCGCCGGGGAGTGGTGATTTCTCGAGTGTTGTGAGGCTTCACAGGCGTGGATGTGGCTTTGCAGTGTGGTGGCATGGGGATGTGCAAGGGGCTGTCTGGGGACCGATCTTGGGGCTGCACCAGATGGTGCCTCTGGCCGAGCTCGAGGGCCTCGTGCAGGCCCTGAAGCACACCTCGGGGTCTGCCGCGTTCGTCGTGGATTGTGTTTATGTTTTGAAAGCGATCCAAGGTGGCCCAGGGCATGTCCCACCCCTCCGCGCTGCTGCCAAGGCCCGTTTTTGGCACGAGTTTGAACGAAGGCCTGGGCAGGACACGTTTCGAAGCATTAAGAGCCGCCTAACGGAGGCAGATATTGGCCACCAGGCTGGGGAACGACAGTCTAGAGTCAACGAAGCGGCTGATGAAGCAGCAAAGCGTGGAGCGTCCTTAGCTAGCCTGCCCCAACACGTCATGGCCGAGGTTTCGTGGGTCGACGATTTGGCCCCTTGGAGTTTTAACCACCTTCTTGTGGTCGGCCCAGAGGAGGCCAAGGCTAAAGATAAGGGCGCTCACGCTCCAGGGGCCTGAACACCCGCAGATTTAGTAGCCGCCAAGCGAGCCCGTCGAGCTGAAAGGCTCGCTGCGAGAGTGGGTGCCCGCTAAGCGATCTCCCACTCAGTTATAGTACGCGGGGGTGGGAGCTTTTTCTGCAGTAAGTGCCTAACGGCACCGAGTCGGATCCTGCCAAGTAACCAGTGGTTTAGCTATTCTTGCTTAGGCTTTCCCCATCAACCCCACGCGTCCCACAGAATTCGATGCCTGCGCGGGCTTCGGTGGTGTGAACTGCGCGGTGGTTGGGGGAATTTTGCGTCCAACTGACGCTGGCAAAAGGGCGATAACCAAGCTACCTGAAGGGCACCGCCCTCCCACGTGGAAGTCCTGGCCAGACGAACCAGGACAAGGAACCCCAGAGCCAGACGAGTCTTACATTCCTTTCCAAGTCCCTGGTCGCTTTGAGCCAGACTCTGGCCTAGCGCAAGCTGTTCCCAGGAGGAGGAGGAGAAGGAGGAGGAAGAGGAGGAGGAGGAGGGGGAGGAGGAGGAGCTGGAGGAGGAGGAGGCGGAGGAGGAGGAGGAGGAGGAGGAGGCGGAGAAACTGTCGGGCTGCGCAGGCGAAGCCCGTCGGGAGTGGAGGAGGGAGGAGGAAAAGCAGGAGGAGGAAGAAGAGGAAGAAGAGGAAGAACAGGATGAAGAGGAAGAAGAGGAAGAGGAGGCGGACCGTGCAGGCAGCCCTTCGAAGGAGGAGGAGGGATGATGAGAGGAGGGAAGAGGAGGAGGAGGAGGAGGAGGAGGAGGAGGAGGAGGAGGAGGAGGAGGAGGAGGAGGAGGAGGAGGAGGAGGAGGAGGAGGAGGGAGAGGAGGAGGAGGAGGAGGAAAACCAGTGCAAACCCAAGACGCACCACGGATGCTGCAAACAACCCTCCCTCCAAGTCCCCTCTTCATAGGTCTCTACACGGATTCACTGTCCTGATGGAAGTGCCCCATTGGAAGAGAATCGTTTGTAATCCTAAACCGCTCCAGGACACCATGCCTGGGACTTCAATGCCGCGAATCAACCATAGTGTTGCGCCTGGACGATCCTGACACGTGCCAGAACGCGGTCTTTGTGACTTCAACACCGCGAATCAACGTAACTGCTGCGCGCTGATAATCTTACATCGTGACAAACAAATTTTGGGTCGTCAACCGTAAGAGTCCTTGACGTTGCTGCAAATTGGTAAGACGAATGCGTGCGGCACTAGGCGAGAGCCACATGCTGAACATGTACCGCCTTCCTTATTTGGAATATCTTGGCAAACATTCTGGGTTTACTGTGCGCGGCACGAAAGCGAGAGCCACGCCGTTTTGAAAACCACCCGCTTTCCATCCGCGAAATTCCCGCACATTATTAAAGCGAATGCGCGCGGCGCTGAGGCGAGAGCCACTGTTTGAAAACGGGCCGCCCTCCATCCGTGAAGCCGTGCGAACTTTTAGGGCGAATGTTCGCGGCGGTCAGGCGAGAGCCACATTCTGAAACCGGCCCGCCATCCATCCGCGAAGCTGTTGCAAGTTTCTGGTTTGAAGATTATCCATGGCGAGGAGATCTCAGGCGAAACGCCGGGCCCGCCCTATTGACATGCCTCGGGGTGCGACAGGGAGGAGCCGCTTGTAAGGCGACGGATGGACGAGGAGGAAGGGGAGGAGGAAGAGGAGGAGGAGGAGGAGAAGGAGATGAGGAGGAGAAGGAGATGAGGAGATGAGGAGGGGAGGAGGAGGAGGACGAGGACGACGAGGAGGAGGACGAGGAGAGGAGGAGGATGAGGAGGAGGAGGAGGAACAGGAGGACCACGCAGGCGGAACCCGTCGAGGGAGGAGGGCGGAGGACGAGGAAAAGAAGGAGGAGGAGGAGGAGGAGGCGGACCACGGGAGGAGGAGGAGGAGGAGGAGGAGGAGGAGGAGGAGGAGGAGGAGGAGGAGGAGTGGGAAGAGGAAGAGGAGGAAAACGCGGATCGCGCAGGCGGAGCCCGTCGAGAGAGGAGGTGGGATGCTGAGAGGAGGAGGAGGAGGAGGAGGAAGAGGAGGAGGAGGAGGAGGAGGAGGAAGAGGAGGAAGAAGAGGAAGAGGCGGACCGCGCAGGCGGAGCCCGTCAAGGGAGGAGGAGGAGGAAAGATGAGGGATGAGAAGAGGAGGAGGTGGAGGAGGAGGAGGTGGAGGAGGAGGAGGAGGAGGAGGAGGATGGAGCGGAGGTGGAAAAAGCTGACTGCTCATCCGGGCTATGCCTGTACCTATGCTGCGGATTGCTCGTGCACTGGGTCGGCAAACCCCTGGGCCCACGAACGCTTTCCACTACAGCTGTGGGCATCTCACTTGTCTTGGCCACAAGACCTAGGCGCCTGCTGTTTCGCAAGGATGACGTACCCAGTGCATGCACACGGTGGAACTCCAGTCCCTATCTGTTCCATCTCACCTTGTTGTTCTTGCCACTCCAGCCCCCATCCCCAAAGCTACATGCTGGGGAACAGGTTGAGGGGCGAGAGTGTGGGCCACAGTTCCAGGATGTAAGCCTATTGCCGCCCTGTGGTACGGGGTGGGCGGGGGGGTGGCATTGGGTTGGTGGGTATGCGAACCAACGGCACGACTTGGCACAGCATTGTCCTCCTAGGCCCCAGCTCTCCAGTAACACCCCCCAGCGCCCCCCCGATAGCCACCCCTCCCAGGACCTGTCCTTGTCCGCTCCCCGTCAGGAGTGTGCCCGCATCTATCGCGGGTCGCTCGGGTGGACTCTTTGTTTGCTGGGACCTCTCCCTCCTCTCGCCCGCTCCTCCTCGTCGCATTCGCTGCTTTCCTTCTTCTCTTTGCCGTGCCCTGCTGGCGTGTCCTCCCGTGTCATCCCCTTCCTCGCCCCCCCCCACCCTTGGGGTCGCCCCCCCGGTGGCTATGATGCCGGCCCCTTTTCATACCGCCCGCCCGCCGCCAGCGACGCTCCTGCCGGGCCGAGGATCAGAGCCCCGAGTCATCAGCGCTAGGGCAGGGGTGACTGCAGACTCGCGCCGCGGGGGGCCAAGCCAGCGTCACCCCCGACCGCAGCCATCCTGGATACGCCGCGCGTCCAACCCTCCCGAATCGTCAGGGCTGGGGGCAGTCAGGGAGGGGCAACTGCAGATTCGCGCCGCGGGGGCCCACGTCGGAGGCACGAACCGAGGACCGCAGTTATCCCGGGCAGCTCGGGCGTCCAAGAGGAGGGGCGGGGGGCGGCGGCTCCAGCTGGAGCTGCAGGAGCAGACGTCACAGTGGAGCCGAATTGGGCAGTGTGGTGGGCCTCTGTGGGCGCGCTCGGGGCCTGCTCAGGGCCTCTCAATGGCGCTCCGGCGGGGCCTCCCAGGAGAAGCGGGACGGGCGCGAGACCTTGTAAATAGCATGGCGTTCCGATACCCTCGCTCTGACGGGGCCTCCCTGGATGGGGTTGGAGGTGCGCGAAATTTTGTAAATAGTAGTGTTTTCCGATGCCTTCCTCGCTCTGGCGGGGCCTCCTGGGGGGTAGGAGGGGCACAAAATTTTGTCAACAGTATGGCTTTCCGATACCCTCCTCGCTCAGGCGGGGCATTCCTCCAGGGGTGGAAGGGGCACATAACCCCGTAATCAGCATGCTTATCCGATACCCTCCTCGCTCTGGCGGGGGGCGGGGGAGCACGAAACCTTGTCAACAGTACGGTTATCCGATTCCCTCCTCGCTCAGGCGGGGCATCCGTGAATAGGAGGAGGAGGAGAAGGACGACGACGACCAGCGCATAACCGAGAAATGTTAATCTGCGTCTGGCATGGGGTCTGTCTGTGAGTGTAGCAGAGGAGGTAGGAGGGAGGAGAAGTGGAGGAGGGATGCGAATGAGGATGAGGAGGCGGAGGAGGACGACGACGAGGAGGGATGAGGAGGGGAGAAGGAGGAGGAATGAGGAGGAAAGATGGGAGGAGGGGGAGGGAGGAGAAGAGGAAGAGGAAGGAGGAAGGAGGAGGAGGGAGGAGGGATGAGAAGGGATGAAGAGGGAGGAGCAGTGGAGTAAGAGAGGGAGGGAGGAGAAATGCTAAGGAGGAGGAGGAGGAGGAGGGATGAGACGAGGAGGGATCAGGAGGAAGGAAGGAGGAGGAGGAGGAGGAGGAGGAGGAGGAGGAGGAGGAGGAAGGAGGAGCAGGAGCGCCCCCCCCCCCCCCTGCGCGCCCCGAGGCTCCAGACGTCGCAGGTCGCATGGTTCTCCGATGCCCTCCTCGCTCTGGCGGGGCCTCCCTGGAGGGGTGGGAGGGGCACGAAACCTTGTAAATAGTATGGTTCTCCGATTCCCTCCTCGCTCAGGCGGGGGGTCTTCCTTGGAGAGCGAGAGGAGGAGGAGGAGGAGGAGGAGGAGGAGGAGGAGGAGGAGGAGGAGGAGGAGGAGGAGGAGGAGGAGAAGGAGTAGGAGGAGGAGGAGGAGGAGGAGGAGGCGGAGGAGGCGGAGGCGGAGGAGGAGGAGAAGAAGATTGAGGAGGAGAAGGTTGAGGAGGAGGAGGAGGAGGAGGAGGAGGAGAGGGTGTTTTTTTTTATGGAAAACAAGAACCCCACTCCGGATGTGGGGAAAAGGCACCCCGACGCCCACAGCCTTCGTTTACTGAGCGGCCTTGGTTGGGCGTCTACTGCAAAGCCTTGCCTCCTTCGATCCCTTCCTCCGGTGCGTTTACCACAGGTTTCGCTCGTCGGGGTGCTTCCTACGAGGGTGGCTGCCCTGCTCTCCGAAGACACGCCCGCAGCTTCGAGCTTCGAGAAGGCCCCACCCCGCCGCGGCCTGCAGATCGCCCGACCGCCCCGCGCTCCGCCAGCCCGCCGCCCGGCAGGCCACCTGCGACGTCTGGAGCCTCGGGGTGCGCAGGGGGGGGGGGGGTCCTTCTTTCTTTTATTCCTCCTCCTCCGTCCTTCCTCCTAATCCCTCCTCGTCTCATCCCTCATCCCTCCTCCTCCTCCTCATCCGCCTCCTCCTCCTCCTCTCCTCCCTCACCCTCTTCCTCCCCTGCTCCTCCCTCTTCATCCATTATCATCCCTCTTCCCTCCTTATCTCCTCCTTCCACCTTCCTCTTCCTCTTCTCCTCCCTCACCCTCCTTCCTCCTCCTCCCATCCCCCATCCTCCTCCCATCGTTCCTCTTCCTCCTTCCTCCTCCTTCTTCCTTCCTCATCTCTCTTAGTCCTCCTGCTCCTCCTGCTCCTGCTCCTGCTCCTTCTCCTCCTGCTCCTTCTCCTCCTCCTCCTCCTCCTCCTCCGACATTGTGTTTACCATGAGTTGTGTGCCAGCGCTATTATGGAAATCGACCAGGATTTGACCCCTCGGGAGAAATTGGCTCGGGTGAAGGAGATTTTCTGGCAGATGGTCCCTCTGTTCAAGGCTCGGCTTCGGATGAAGCCCCCGAAAGAGAATTGTGAGAAGCTCCGCTTTGCTGTGATGGCTTTCCGTGGGTGGCGTATGAGCAGGTTCGACCAGTGTGTGCGTGCGATCCGTGCGTATCCTCGGTTTCTTCAGTACTTTGATCCAGACCGTGAGAGATGCTTGGATATAGCCGGCCTGGGTGCTTTGGTGCAGTCTCTGAAGGATGCTTGGTATGAGTCGGAGGAACGGGCGATGGACGGGTGGGAGGATGACGAGAAGTCTAAGGCTAAGGCCATGGCCCGCTTGCAACACCTCCGTCGAGCCTGGTCACAAATGCGTCGGCGCTATGGGCTCTCTGGGACCCTGGACAGTTCTGGGCAGGTGTGCCCTTCTCCGACGGCCTCTGCTGAGGCCCTTCGGGACCATTGGCAGGCGGTTTTTGCAGCCAAGGAACCTGATCGGACCTTATGGCCTGAAATCCTCGCCCATGCCCAGCCGATCCAGTTGGACCCATTGCATTGGAAGTTGGATGTTGACGGTTTTATTGAACGAGCCCGATTTAAGCATCACTCTGCCCCTGGGGAGGATGGCATTCCGTATGGGTGCTGGAAAGCTGAGGGGGCCGCTGATGTTTTATTTGCTGTTTATGAAGAGATGTATCAGGCGTCTGGGGGTACTGTTTCGGCGTGCATGCGTCGAGGAAGGATGTGTTTTCTGCCCAAAGACCTCAAAGACGACGGGAACCCCGCTGTCCTTGTTCGGTCGCCTGATAAGACTCGCCCGCTCACGCTAGCGAATACCGATGCGAAGCTCCTGAGCGACGCTTTCTCCATTGGCCTCCAGCGGGCTGCTCCGTCAGTGATCGACCCGATCCAGCGTGGGGGGGTCGCGCGACGTGGGCTCCTTGACATCGTGGTTGAGATTGAATGGTGGGGTCTTCGTCAGATGCTTACTGGCGGGGATCGCTCGGGCATTCTTTTCCCGGACTTTAAGGCTGCGTTCCCCTCTCTGATCGTCTCCTGGATCTTGGCGGTCTTGGAGGCCATGGATGTTCCTGGTGAAGCTTGTGGTTTTTTATCGCGAGCTGTACCGTGACAGCGTGGCTGCAACCAACTTCCCTGGGACTATTGGCATTGCTTTCTCGGTGGAGCGTGGGGTGCGGCAAGGTGATCCTGCTTCGACGCTTCTCTTCGCTTATGCGCTAGACCCAGTATTGCGTTGGATGAGGGCCAAGCTCGCTGACCGTGTCCCTTCGGATTAGAGCCTGCGCTGATGATCTCTCCTTCTGCCTTCCCAACATCCTGACTGACCTCCAGCCGGCGCTCTCGCTCCTTCGTAAGTTGGAACATGCTGTGGGTCTTGGGCTGAACTTTCCCAAATGTAAGGTATTGGTGATTGGCTCGCTTGATCCTGATAAATTAGTTGCCCACCTTCGAGCCAAGGGGAGCGAGTACCACCGCAATGGGTTTGTTCGCGCCGTTTATACTTGGGATTCTGGCTCGGGCCTGGGGCTCTGGACAACGTATGGAGCAACGCCATCCCCAAGTTCTGGATGACGGTTCGGAGGCTTCGTGGGCTTGGGCTGGGGCTTCCACAGACCATTCGCCTTTTCCACTCGCACTGCATGTCGATTTTGGCGTACCAGTTACAACTCTGCCCAGTGACCGCGGCTCTTCGGAAAGCGTATAATGAGGCCTTACAGGTGATTACTGCTGGTCCCCGCCATGTCTTCTCGAGGGAGATGCTGACGGGCATGCGAGCGTTGGGGGCCTCTTTAGAATGCTTGGATATCGATTGTCTTTTCGAAGGCTATCAAGTTTCGGGTGTTGATGTCTTGCTCCAGTATTGATGCTGTCCAGTATGAGATGGAGTCTTTGACGGTCCCCCTGGATGACGATAACTTCATTCCCGCTCGCCTGTACTGGCCCTGGTGGAAGTCTTCCTGGATCAGGACTACGGTGACTGAAGTTGGCAATTTCACTGCCCCGACCCTGGAACCCATCCCCATGAAATCCCTTCAGAAGGAAGCGATGCGCAAGCTCAGTGGGCTCCGTGACCCCACTGTTCCCCTCCGCACTATGGTTCTGAGGGTGTCCAAGTGGGTGGGTCCCGACCGTTTTACGGTAGCTGACGCGTGAATTTGAGAAGGACAGCGCGATGCACTTCGTCACGGGGGTCCTTAGAGTGCTCCGCCGTGGGGTTTGTACCTCCCGTCGTCTGCGTACCACGGTGGTGGGCTGTGCGTTTGGGTGTTCTCTGGAAGCGGCTGACGACGATCTGAGGCATTATCGCGCGTGCCCCAAGTTGAAGGCAGGGTTGATTGACATATTCCCCCGCGGTGCACTTCTGAGGTCTTGGACCGCGGCTTTAACGGGTGAGGATTGGCTCCTCACTCTTTGTTGCTTGGGGCCACAGTGGGGGCGGTCACGTGACCTAGTGGGGCGCGTCCTACTTGATTGCTTTCTGGCCGCGCATAATGCTCGCAGGACTGGCTCGGTCCAGCCGGGGGAATTTCTAATTGAAGCCAGGCTTCGGCAGTTGTCACGTCGGCACCCCAAGCTTAATGAGGCGTTACGTGTGCTGCGTTTGAATGCTGCTGCCGCCGCCCCTCCCCCTGCCCCCCCTGCCCCTCCTGCCGCGCCCCTCCTCTCCTGAGTTGGCCGTGTCCCCCATTTAAGTCCCCCCTTTTCCCTGTGGCCCCCTAGGTATAGGCCCATGCGTGATGCTGTCAGAGTTTGATGTGACCCTGGTGGGTCTCTCGGGTTGGCTGGCTGGTTTTCCGATGTTTTTCTTTCTGTTGTGCTTTCCCTCCGCTCAGTTACGTTTCTTGGTTAATTCAGGGCCCCTTGTTGTCGCCTGGGTTGTGGGCGCTGCTCAGTGCTCATTGTGACCCTCTCCGCTCGCAGGTGAAGATGGCGAGGTGCAGCTTTGTGCGTTCTTTTGGGAGAGGCATGCTGACAGTTGGATTGGCCAGCACGCGTGAGAGAGTGCCTCTCTTGCCGCGCCGCCGCCCCCCAGCCTCTCTCCTGCCGCCCGCCCCGCGGCCGCCCCGCCTCTTTTGCCTGCCGCGCCTCTCTTGCTGCCCTTGTGCTTCCACAGGTTCTCGGACGGGCGGAACGGTCTGGTTCGTTCGGGCGTCGATTGATCGTCGCTCCTGCGGGGTTGGCAGGCCTTCCCGCGACGCCAAGCCGTGGCGCATCGAGACGCCCGTTGCGTCTGGCGCGGAGCAGGCCCCCCCCCTCCGCCGCGCCCTGCCGTCGCCCTCAGGCCCCCGACGAAGTTCGAGGCGCCCCGGCAGCCGCTCCGCGCGAGGGGGCGCCCCCCTCTCGCCCTCAGGTTCCCGGCGAAGTTCGCGGCACTTTGGAGGCCAGCTGTCTGGTATTCCCTCGTTCGGCGTGTTGGGTTCTCGTTTTGGGGCGCACCCCTTTTGTCTGCTTCTGCCTGCTGCGCTGTGGGTTGGGCCCTCGGTCAGCCGAGGAGTGAGTGTGGCGCGGGAAGGATGCTCGAGTGTGTGATCCCCTTTTGGACGGTGTGCCTTGGGGGGGCGCGCGCCCGCCAGGGATCCTGCGCACTCGGAGCAGAGTACCCGCCGCCGCTTCTCTTTGCCCTGCCCCTGCTGCTGCTCCTCCCCTGTCCTATGCATGCCAGATTGCACGGTGCCCAGTGCTCCCTGAGATGGACTATTGACTGTTGTGGAAGACGTGGGCGTGCGCGATAGCGGCGAGAAAAAAGAAGGAAGAACATAGGGGAAAAAAAAAGAAAACATTCAGAAAACAATCCTCCCCCCCCTCCTCCTCCTCCTCCTCCTCCTCCTCCTCCTCCTCCTCCTCCTCCTTCGCGTTCCCTCTTCCTGCTCCCCCTCGCCCCCCCTCCCCGCACCACCCCCTCCTCCCCCCCCCTCCTCTCTCCTTCGCCCCCACCCTCGACGCTGCGCCTCCTTCCTCCCTCCATCCCTCCCTCCCCCGCCCGCGTCGGCTATCGCCGGCGGCCCCTCCCGCCTCGGGGTGCCAGCCGGCAGCTGCGCCTCGCTCGCGAGCGCGCCCCAGAGGGGGCGCCCCTGGCCAGCGGCCCCAGGATGGGTGGCCTGGGCCGTGGTCCGAGTTTCGCCGTGGAAGGGCGCAAAGTCGACCGGCTTCTAGGATCGAAGAAGAAACAACGCCATGAGCGTAACTTTTTTTGGCGCTCCGCGCGGACTTCTTGGATCCGCGCTGGCCCCCCCCCCCCCCCCCCCCCAGCGGCGCCTCCGGCGCCACCCCTGGCGCGCTCCGCGCTACCCGTCTCTCAGGCCCATGCTGAATACTGCTTTCGCTTTCTAGAAACAGGCGTCTATAGACGCATGGGGCGTTTGTTTACGCATATACTTAGACACGTTCGGGGGGGAGTGTATATGGACAGCGCGGCCGTTGTTTTTGGTTGATGTTCCCTCCCCTCAGTTGGTCCCCCTTTAACGTTGTCCCTTGCCCGCCGAGTTTGCGCGTGCACCCACAGTCGAACCAGACCAAGATGCATGAACATGAAGTGTCGGAGGTCCGCGCGGACTTTTTGGATCGGCGCTGGCCGCACTGGCCCCCCTTGGAGGCGGACCCAGCGCCGCCCCTGGCTCGCTCCGCACGCTAAGGAAGGGGGTCCAGCGCCGACAGAAGAACTCCACATGGATATCCAAACGCTGATGTTTATGCTGATATGATGCACGCGCTGTATATACATATAGAGAGAAATAAAGAGAAGAGAGAGAGAGAGAGAGAAAAACATAGCTCTTCTGGGGCAGAAGAGGTGGCCTGGGTCAAGCCGGCCCTGGCAGGGTTGATGCTGTTGTTGGTGGCGGCTATGATCATGGCGGTCACGATGGTATTGAAGTCGATGCTGGTCCTAAAGATGGCCCGTTCGATGATGGTTGGAATGATCATCGTAGTGGTTGTGATCATCATGATGACCAGTGTGATTGTCCATGTGACGGTAATGATGGCTTGCATGCCCTTTCTCCCCCGATGCGTCTAGCGAAGACCTTGGACTCCGCGGGTCGGGACTTCGGGGTGTCCGCTGGCCTTTCAATATGGCTTGGCATTGTCTGGGAAACCATATATGTATACATGTGTGTGTGTGTGTATATATATATATATATTCCCACTGGTGAGACAACTGATGGGACCACGCCCCAACCACCCTGGCAAGTCCCGTCCCAGGTCACGTCAGGGTCCAGAACATGCGCGTGCCCAGGCGCTACATAATTTTAGAAGTTCATTGAAACGGATGTGTTATCTAGTCCTGCCACGCCCGGTTGGCATTCCCCAATTGTTTCGGACCAGTGTCAAGCCTCTGGCCAGTTTTTCAGCCCTGGCTACCTCACATTCTTCAATTGTCTCAGCTTCATCGAATTCTAGACGCTTCGCGCAACCCCACCAGTCCTTCGCGCGTCGCCTCTGCTTTAATGTTCTCGCGCTTCCTCTGCCTAGTTAGTCTCTGCGTAGCCCGCTTTGACCTGACTCGCCGCCGGCGCGCTCGCCCGCGGCCGCTGACTAAAAAAGTAACCCCACCAGTCCGACAAGGTTTAATTCCCCTGCCTGGCGATCTCGCTCCCATGGTACTCGCACGCTGCATCTCTCCAGCCGCCTCCGCAGCTGGCAGCTTCCACCCCTCGGCGCAGCTCTGCCTCGGCGAAGCTCCCCCCGGAGGTAGGTTATCTTGTTTGCTCGGCGCGCGCGCCGGCAATTAGGGCGCTCGCGGCCCGTGCGACTCTTCCGACGCTGCTGGCGCGCTCGCCTGCAGTTGCGACTAAAAGAGCGTAGCCCCACCAGCCCATCCAGAATCGATGCCCAGAGGAATTGCCTCGATCAGGAAAGTGGGTAGCACACAGAGGAAGGGTCCCCCAGTGGGGGCCTTTGGGGGCGTCTTTGGGGCCTCTTGGCGGTCCCAGACGCCTCTTAGGGCGTCTTGGGTGCCTCGCGGAGTTTCTTGGGGCCTCTTGGGGGTCTCTTGGGAGCCTCTTGGAGGCCTCTTGGCCGCCTGTTGGGGCCTCCTGGGGCCTCCTGGGTGCCTCTTGGGGCCCTCTTGAAGCGCTCTTGGGAGCCTTGGGAACGCTCTTGGAGCCCTCTTGGGCCATTTTGGACCCACCTTGAGGCCTCGACGGGAAAACCAAAAACATGGACTGCCCCAGGGTTTTGGACGGATTTGGGCCTCTTCGGGGCCTCCAGGGGGAGTTTTTTGGCCATTTGGAGCCGTCTTGGAGCGATCTTGGGGCCTCTTGGAGCATCGTGGGGGCCATTTTGAAGCATCTTGGGATATCTGGAGGTCATCTTGGGCTCTCCCAGGCGCTCCTGGGGTCATCTGAAGCAGTGCCCCCCCGCCCCAGGAGGCCAACATGTGGCCAAAACTTTAATACAATCGATGGTTTTGACATTGTCGCCGAGGCCTCTTGGAGCGTCTTGGGTACCTCTGGGGGGGCCTCTTGGGGGTCTCTTGGGAGCATCTTGGGGGCATCCTGGGGGCTTCTTGGGGGCCTCTTGGGGCCTCCTGGCCACCTCTTGGGGCCCTCTTGGGACACCCTTGGGAGCCTTGGGAGCGCTCGTGGGGCCATCCCGGAGGAGATCGATCAAAGAAAGGGGGTCCCTTAATTAGCCTCGCCCCCCCCCCCCCCCCCAGAGGCCAAAATGGGGCCAAAACCATGGTAAAACAAATGATTGTGGCTTCCTCGCCGAGGCCTCTTTGGACGTTCCGACACCTCGCGGCCCCCCCCCGTCCAAGTCCAGGGGAGGGGGTAGGGGGAGGGGTAAACCCTTCCCCGAAGGGGAAGAAAGGGGGTTGGAAGAGGAGCCGCCCTAAACCACCTACGCCCGCAGGGCTGGTGGGATTAGGTCACTGGCGGGGTCGCGACGATGATCGGAGCCCTGCGCGGAGTTCTTTGACCTGTGCCCCCTTGGCGGCGCCTCCGGCGGCGCCCCCTGGCGCACGTTGGCGCACGGAGCGCGTCATAGAAAAGTGTCCAGCGCCGATCCAAGAAATCCGCGCGAGCCTCCGAAATTGTACAGTGGAGGCCCATGCCAAGAAACACCCTGCTTGCCTTCAGGGTGCCCTGGGTTTCTTGGGTTTCGACGGTTTTGCTATGGAAAGCGTGACGCTCCCACACCAAAAATCAATGGACGCCCTGGGGTCTCAGGGTTGGGTTTCTTGCGGAAGGTTTCTTGTGGGTTGGCCTCCACTGTATGTTCACGCGGTGTTTCCCATTATCCTCGTACTTTCGTGTGCGTTTCTTCGGGCCCCTCGGGCGTGCTCTGTGCTCTTTGTTTTGTTTTGCTCTCTCGTGCTCGCGAGCCGCGCACGAGGCCTCTTCTCCCAGAGGAGAGCCCTGAACTGTCCAGGCTGCGCTCGCTCCTCTGTGCTTCCCTTTCGCGAAGAAGAAAGAACTTCTTTCCCTTTCGCTCCTTGTGCGCTTTCCTTCTGGATCTGCGCTGGGCCCCCCTGGCGGCGCCTCTGGAGCCGCCCTTGGCGCGCTCCGCGCGCCAGGGAAAGGGGCCCAGCGCAAATCCAAGAAAGCCGCGCGGAGCGCCAAGAAGTTTACGTTCATGCCGTTGGTTCGTCTTCTACTTTCCGCTCCAAGCCCAGCGCCGGCGTCAGATGAGTGCACACGGGATGGGCCAGAGAGCATGACCGGAGCGAGGAGACGTTGGGTCGGGACGCCGCGGAGGCGCGCGGCCTCCAGGGAGTGGGGGGCGATCGGAGGTGCTCATATACGTCATGCTCTGCGGCAAGCCCCCCTTTTGGGGCAACTACCAGGCGCAGCTGAAGAGGCTCGCCCTCCTGCCCCAGCCCAGTGGGAGGAGAAGGTGAGCACGGGTCGTTAAGGGAGTGGGTGTTCTGGGGCTCCCAGGTTCCACTCTGCTTGAGGCGCCATCCTGCTCCAAGTGTTGTTGTGATGTTCCAGCCGACTGTAGCGATGATCACCAGAAAGAATGTTAAGCACCAAGAAAGTTCCGAAATCTGATGGTTTTTACGTGTCGGGCACTGGGTGCTCGAATTTGTTTCTGGGATGTGGCCCTTAGGTGCGATAGGGGACAACATAATCCAAGCGTCGAGCGAGTTTCTCCTCTTCCCCTCTCTTCTAAGGGCGGGCGGAGACCCAATCTATTTTCAGCGCCGTCCGATTTCCATGCTATGGTGTCCTCTATCGTACATAAGGACCACTTCCCAGAAATGATTTCGAACATCCAGACAGTGACTACCCGACACGCTAGCGAATGTGGAACGAATATCGCCTCCCAGTGCCCGACACGTGAAAACCAGCGAAATTAGGTATTTTCTTTCTTGGTGCTCAACATTCATTGTGGTGATCAGCGCTACAGTTGGTTGGAACAACCTAACTTCCACGTTTCGACCCACGTCTTACGAGCGGTGAGTATTGTGCCAATGGAGCTGCTCGTCCTGGAGAGTCCTCGTCTCTCCACGGCCAGAGGATCCTCGAAATGCTGGCTGGGACGCACCCCGCGATAGGTCCGGGGATCAGTTCGAAGAAGAAGAAGAAGAAGAAACCTGTACTGTAGGTCCACGTCGTGTCGACCTGCGGCGACCCCGCCGCCGGCGTTCAACGTTGAATGCCGCCAGCGACCCGGAATCGGTTTATGCTGACCGATCGGACGTTGCGGGAACGACCGATCGTTCAAGGTTGAACGATCCCCGCGGTGTCAGGAACCAATGCTGGGGTCTACACGACACGAACCTACCGTATACAGATGCACTTTCTTCGGAGGCAAATTGTGGGAGCCTTGTGTAACCTCGTGATTTTGTCTTTAGCGTCGATTAGCGTCTGGGAGTCGATGGGATAGCGCCGATTTAGCGTCAGTTAGCGTCGATTAGCGTCGATTTCGCGTCAGTTAGCGTCGATTAGCGTCGATTTCGCGTCAGTTAGCGTCGATTTAGAGTCGATTAGCGTCGATTCGCAAGAGCCGACAAGATGGTATGGGAGGCTCCCATGAGTTGCCCCCGAAACTTTCTTCCGAGGTCCGCGCGGATTCCTTGGATCGGCGCTGCCCCCGCCTCCTGGCACGCGGAGCGCCCCCAGGGGCGGCGCCGGGGGCACCGCCGGGAGGGCCCAGCGCCGATCCGAGGATCTCGGTCAGACCTCCGAAAGTTCCTATTGCGAAGGCCTTGCGGCCGCCGCCGCCGAGCCTGAAGGCGGGGCCTTCCCCGGGACCCCGACCCCGCTGGGCCCCCGGGCCCCCGGGGTGCGTCGGCAGTCTGACCCGCGGCCCCCTCTCCCCCGGGGACCTGCCCGGACTCCGGGGAGGGGCGGCCTTCTGGCACGAGACCATCCCGCCGGAACCCTGGGGGGGGGGCGGCATCCTGACCCAGGACCCCCCCCCCCGTCTCACCCTCCCCTCCCATCCCGCCCACCCCTCCCCCCGCCCCCCCATCCCCCCCCCTTCCTCGGCAGTGAGGGGATAAAGTGAAGGGAACCGACTCAACTACGGCATTCCTTCTCCTTGTTCCTCAGTGTTCTGGGGACTGACGGACTAGACGACGACGACGACGACGACGACGACGACGACGACGACGACGACGACGACGGCGACGTTGGTGCTGGACCCCCCTTGCGGCACGCGGAGCGCGCCAGAGGCGGCGCCGGGAGCACCGCCAGAAGGGCCCAGCGCCGATCCGAGAAACCCGCCAGGACCCCTGAAAGTTATTGAATCGCTTCGCTCATTCCGCCGGCCCGTGATATGGCATCGCTGGTTTTTGTCTGTGTGTTCGTTGCCCATGTTGCGCTCTTGGGGGCGGGTGTCGTTCGGACGCGTTGCGTGGGGAGTTTTGATGGTGAAGCAGTTCCCTGGGGGTCGTCTCTCGATGGGGCGAAATAGAGTCGTCGTCAAGATGCTTCTTTGGGGGGCCTCTTGGGGTCTGTTGAGAGGCCGTTCGGGGGCGCCTGGGAGACATGTTTGAAGCCTTCTGGGGCTTCTTTTGGGCCTCCTGGGAGTCTCCTGGGGCCTCTTGGCGACATCTTGGGGCCTCTTGGAGGCCTCTTGGGGCCTCTTTGGGACCTCCTGGGCGCCTTCTGGGACGGAGGGCTCCATTTTTGAGTTCTCGGTATCCCTCCTGAGTCCCTCTTGGGCCCGTCTTGGGGCCTCTTGGTCCGTCTTGGGCGGCACTTGGGCCGTCTTGAGGGCTCTCTTGGGTCGTTTCGGCGCCGTCTTGGGAGCTTCGTGGGCCGTCTTGGAGCGGTCTTGGGGGCCTCTTGGGCCGTCTTGGAGCGTCCGGAAGCCGAAAAAGCCAGAACACAAAAAACATCGAAAAAACAAATGAAAATCAACGATTTTGGCCTCTTGGGGCTCTCTTCGGAGGCCTCTTGGAAGGCTCTTGGGGCGTCTTGGAGGCCTCTTGGGCTGTCTTGGGGGCCTTTTGGGCCGTCTTGGGGTCATCTTCGGCGTCTTCGAGCGCTCTTTGGGCGTCTCGGGGGCCTCTTGGGCAGTCTTGGGGGCCTCTTGGGGCACTCTGAGCGCGCTCTGGGGAGCCTGAGAGGCCGCACCCAGAAGGAAAACCATCTCTGAGTAGACTTGGTCGGGCGGCGACCGGGCGGCGACCGGGCGTTGGTCGGGGTACTTTTCGCCGGGGGACCCCCATCAGAAGCACCATAAGGGGTACCAAAAGCGTAGGGGTACCAAAAGCGGGTGGGGTTAGCTTCATTTTAGATGCATCGCAACGAAGCGCGCGCATTCGAAGGATTCGCTTGCACCTTGCATTGCGAAACAATACTTCTCTCTCCTTCCCCCCCCCGCCTCCCTCTTCCTTCCTCCTTTCCCCTTCCGATCCCTCCTCCTCGCACCTCCCCATCATCTTCGACCTTCCTTCTCAGTCCTCCTCCTCTCCCTCCTCCTCCTCGGTCCTCCCCCATCCCTCATCATCATCGCCACCATCATCGTCACCACTTTCCTCCTCTTCTTCCTCTTCCCTCCCCTTTTCCGCCGCCGCTCGCGGGCACGCAGCGGGGCGCCTCGAGAGGCGCGCCTCTCCAAGAGCAGGGGCAATGGGGGGGGGGGCGGGGATAGGGGAGTGGATGGGGGGAGGAGTAGGAGGAGGAGGAGGAGGAGGAGGAGGAGGAGGAGGAGGAGGAGGAGGAGGTAAGAGGATGACGATGAGGAGGAGGAGGAGGAGGAGGAGGAGGAGGAGGAGGAGGAGGAGGAGGAGGAGGAGGAGGAGGTGCATTGTGGGCATCCGGATTACTTCTGCCATGGGAAACTGCTTCGTTTTTGGCCATTTAGCGCGGGGCCGTCTGGGTGCATCTTGGGGGCATCCTGGACTGAGTTGGGGTAGTTTGGGGGGGCTCTTGGGCCGTTTCTTGCTGCCAGGAATGCAAAAACGCTGCGATTCACCAGTAGTACTTAAATGCTGATGCCGATGGAAGGTTCTTGATAAGTTGTTTGTTTACTGATGTGTTCAATGCGTGTCTAATGTGTGTTCGTTGTTCGTTCAGGCTGCATTGCATCGTTTGCGTTTTTGCATCGGTTATTTGCACGGCTGTCGCGTGCCCGCGAACCGTAGAATACTTGAGAGCGTGTTGAGGGAGCTGTGCGTGTGTGCGTGTGTGTCCGTGGTTTCGCCCGCGCATTTCGACGGTTCGGAGCGCTCTCCAGCCGCTGAACAAATGCGTGCAACATCGTGGCATGGCATGGGCTCGTATGCCCTTTAGCGCCGTGCCGATGGATCGCGAGAGGGGTGCTTGGACGTCAGCTATGCGCTCGGGCCGCGAAGTTGTTGTTGTGCTCGGGGGGGGGGGGGGGCATATGCAATGTATGGGTAATGCCAAGGCAGCTACCTGTCTGGGCAGTGCGGAAGCGCGCTGCGGCTGGTTGTTTTCTGGGCGGCGCATGGGTGCCATCCCTGGGATGTTCGCTGTGCCCGTCGCCCCATCATTGCGCCAGTCCTAAATGGGCGTAAGCTGTTTTGTTGTCGTGTGTCCTTCATTTCGGTCCCGCGGCGCGTGGAGCCACGCGGTCGCGCGCGCCGGGTGCTGCGTGGGGCGCGCAGCAGCATTGCCGGCTTGCTCGTGACAAATTATGCTACCGAAGGGCCGCACTTACGCGGTTAGCGCGCGCGACGCGAAAGATTTCGAGTGCGAAGTCTACGTCTGCAGCGCGCCGCCATTCGCATCGCCCGGCCCGCAGGTTTTTCTTGCAACCCCTTATCTGGAGGCCGAGTGTTTGAGTAACGACGGATTTCATATTCGGAACAAGAATTGGATGAAGAGGTACCAACCGACGCTCTCGAAACTCATCGAGCACGTACTCCCGGAAAGCGAGAAGGCGGCGCTTCACATATCCACCTGCCTGCGGCGTCTGCCGCCGGCGCGCGAGCGCAGCTGGCCTGAGCGGTTGTCGCCGCGTAAGGGTGGTCGACCGCGGTCGCAATGTTGCAGGCCGCAGCCCCCACGGACGGGGAGGTTTCATTCTGATCCGCGTAAGGTAACGCGCCGTTGCATCCCCCAAGGGCTTACGGAAATGGCGACAGTTTCGCCGTTCGGAACCCCCCACAACGGCGAGGTGCCATCTTTACAATCGTAAGGCCTCGCGCCGTTGGACCCGGCAAACGCTGACGAAAGTGGGGGCAGACTCGCAGTTTGCAGCCCCCGCAGTGGCGGCGAGACGCAATTTCGATCTTCGTAAGACGTCGCAAGACGCCACTCCGCTGGACCCCCCTGGGCTCGCGAAAGTGGCGGAGACGGTCGCAGTGCGCAGCTTCCCGGTGGCCGCGGGGTTTCGTTCAGACTCGCGTAAGGCACAACTCTGCTGGACCTCTGAGA